TGTGTGTGTGTGTGTGTGTGTGTGTGTGTCTGTGTCTCTGTGTGTTTGTGTGTGTGTGCATTTCTTATTATTATTAATTTTGAAAACCGTTTTTGCTGCATGTTTTTTGTAGAAACTGTGATGCACTATCAGTGTTCAAAAGCAAACGAAATACTTTTATTTAGTTAAATTGTGTTTAATTGATCAAAAGTGTCAGTAATGACATTTATAATGTTAGAAAAGATTTCTACTTCAAATAATATGCTGTTCTTTAGAACTTTCTATTCATCAAAGAATCCTGAAAAATAAAATGTATCACAGTTTCCACAAAAATATTGTGCAGCACGACTGTCTTCAACATTGATAATAATTAGAAATGTTTGTTGAGCAGCAAACCAGCATATTAGAATGATTTCTGAAGATCATGTGACACTGAAGACTGGAGTAATGATGCTGAAAATTCAGCTCTGATCACAGAAATAATTTACATTTGAACAGATATTCACATAGAAAACAGCTGTTTTACATTTTTGACAAATGCAGCTTTGGTGAAGAAGCATCATGTCTTCTTTTTAAAAACAAACAAATCTCCCTGACCCCAAACGTTTGAACACTAGTGTACTTGCACATATGAATACTCATGTCTGTCTGTTTGGGAGACCTGCTGTTATAACGCTGGCTGGATGTGATCTCGTCCCAACAGATTATCCTGACCCTGACAGGTTCTCGTGGGAGAGGTATCTGGAGGAGACGGGCTCGACGGCGGTCGCTCCTGAAGCCTTCAGAGTGGTGTGTGAAATCTCTCCGTCCTGATAACTCTATTAAAACCACTTCCTTGGTCAAAATAAGGAAAGCGACTCTTCTTGTGTTTGCGCAGCGCCCCTCCCACAGCTTCCAGGTGCAGATGAAGCTGGAGGCGGTGGATAAGAGGTGTCCGGGCCTGATCCGCGTGGCTACGGTGCAGGAGATCGACACTTACAGAATCAAGGTGAGAAAACCTGCTGCTGCTTCTGTGGACAAACTCCAGCTCACAGCGATGCCAGTTTAATCAAATAACCAACCAAAATAGAAATAAAAATCAATACAGTATATTAAACACATTCCTTTAATGGCTCATAAAGTCCAGTGGAAATATACAAGAAAGACGAGTCTTCTGCTCACCATGGCTGCATTTATTTGATCAAAAATACAGCAAAATGGTAATATTGTAAAATATTATTACAATTTTCTATTTTCTATGTGAATATCTGTTAAGATGTAATTTATTTCTGTGATCAAATTGTGTACAATAATAGGAATTGTTTTCAGAGAATACATATTAAACTTATTTCTCTTACCCCACTGCCTAAATGATTTTCAGGACATTTTGTTACTACATCTATGACTTTTTTTACAGGAAAACAAGACAAAATTATTGATTAAGAAATATATATATATATCGTAGAGTGACACTTATTTGTGAGTGTGAATCAGCCTCACTTCTGCTGTCCTTAGATTCATTTTGATGGCTGGAGTCACTTGTATGATGAGTGGATGGATTCGGATCATCCGGACATCCACCCTGCGGGCTGGTGTGAGAGCACAGGACACCCCCTCAAACCTCCACCCTGCCAGCACACTGCCCAGAAACCCGGTGAGAAACCTCCTCATTCCTCTGACCCTCACCTGCTCATGCACCAAATACTGTGTCAGCTCAGAGTCACCTGTGTGGTTTAGGTCCCCAGGAGAGCCTGACAGCCCGGCAGCCCAGCTTCTCCTCCATGCCTTGTAAAAGTCTGCCTCAGCCACGCAGCACCTCCAAATACAGCTTCCACCACAGGTCAGCCTTATAATGCACACGGATTCAGAGCAGCTTGACAGAAAGTTTAAAGGGGTCCTATTATGCTTTTTCACTTTTTCAACTTTAGTTAGTCTGTAAGGCTATGGTATTTATATGACATTTCCCGACCAGGCACCGAGCGGTGCCAATCACAACACACACTGGCCCAGCTAACCGATCACAGCACACACTGGCC